TTTCTTAATGTCTATCAAGGCCATAAACTTCTCAAAAGAAAAAGAAATCACTTGATATTGAAGACTGCAAATCTCATCTGTCAGTTTAACGAGCACGTGCACAGAGAAATCCATTGGATCTCTACCACAAGGAGTTTAGATACTTTCTGAACACCAGTATGCTGAGCTAGATAAGTGATTCTTTTTAAAGCATTGGACATTGTGTGTTTCTAGCTTACGGAGAGTGGATTATCCGTAGTCCTTAGTACGTTTCAACAAGAACTAATTTTCTGTTAAAGTGCTTAAGATTGAATGCCCATTGTAATCACCTTCAAATTGAACTTAAGTCTTAAGATTTTCCCAGTAAATTCTTCAGAATCTGCAGAACAGCTTTTAACTCCACACAGCCTTTTTCTATTTCTACATGACAGCTTCTAGACTCCATTTTGTGTCATGAATACCCACAGGTTGTCTTGCACAGAACAAAAAGAGGCCACTGTGATTATCATCTCTTAATAAAGCAAATTCCATGGGGATGCTCTAGTAATCCTAATTGATTAACTTATCACCCATTTTCCAGCTGATTCATTCTTACTGTAATATTAGTATTTTTTTCAGTCTCAATGAAGTCAAACCATACTGATCAGGCATTTTCAGGCTACTGAGCAATCATCTGCCATTCAGAATCTACTCTTGTGTTTTTCAAGATAGTAAGCAGTGAAAAAGTTCACCTAACTAGCTGGAATTCAAGCTGCAGACTGCATATTTCATCACTGTTTTCCTTTCTTCCATTATGATTATACTGGATCACTGCTGTATTAGCTCAAGCAGTCTTGGCTCTTTGTAAGGCTGAAATAGATAAACACATAGGTCATAGGAGACCATAAAAAAAAAAAAAAAAGAGATTGTTTTGCTTCAATGAATTGTGGAACTTCAAGACAGTTAGTGTCTTACCTCTGAGGAACCTGTGCACATGGTAGGCATAACCTTAGACTATATTATTATAGTCTTATAGTCTATACTGTCTATATAGTCCTAGGCTATGATTTAGTAGCAGTCTACCACATTACTCTTACAAAGAAAAGGTAAATTTGCTGCTACCTTATGCAATGTGTTTCATGGAGCTGCTGGTCTATGGTAGCTTACTGCATGCAGGCTCTTATCTTCCCATGGGCACTTACGACAGAAAAGGTCACACCAAGGGAAGGGGGATAAAGGTCTGAGCCAAACACCTTCAGTTACCTTCAGGCAGCACAGATGCCTGAAGACATTTCCGTACAGGCACAGAAGTACCCCCTGGATGTTGCTCAAGCATTGCTAGTGCTGTAATAGCTGCAATCTTGTAAAGCAGCACTCGCTTCTAACTCTATGTAGTACTTAGCATAGATGGAAACTGCACTTGCAATGTTAAAACTAAACTCTTCACTGCAAAACAAGAATGTTCCTGTGACATGTTGTGACTCCTGACTAACTCACTCTCATGCTGTTACTGCAGGAGTGTTAGAGGCACATGGCTTTTTACCATGGTCAGTTGAACAATCTTCTCAAATGACCAGCTGTGTTTTGCTTACCTACACTCACTGCAGTTTTGGTTTGGCACTGGATTGCTTTTCACCACCTCTTCTGCAGTCTTAGCTCTGTGCATCTTCCTAGCACGGGATGTATTTTCCAGGGGTATTTAGCTATAAGAGAGAGAATCTGAAATGCAAAATTCCTTGCAAATGAAAGATAAAATCTCTGAGACTACATGAGCAAGCTAGAAGAAATAAAATGAATGAGATAGTGGGGACAAAAGTGAAACACTTACTTAACTGAAACTTCATTTCAGTCTTTTTCTCCAGTTAATTAAGTATTGAGGAAAATGGATGTAGAAAGCACATTTTAAAGCAATCAAGTACTGCCAGAAATCAAACCTGCAATTTGAAAAGAGAACAACACTGCTCTCTGGCATCTGACGAAATAAGATATTTGACAGGGAACAATATGTGCAGTACTGGTTAATTGAGAGGCGAGGAGAAGAATAATCATAGCTGCATTACTGAATTTATAGAAGTATCTCCAGTGTACTACAGGGACGATGCAAATTTGTGGAATCCTCCTGCCTGCGACAGCAAGCCAGCAATTGCTTACATTGCCATCAACATTTTTACAATGTACTATAGGCAGCAATGCAGAAATAGCAACTGTGGTGGCTGAAACTGGGAGACTTGCCTTTAAAATGTTTGTAATCCCACACTTTCATCTGCTGGTGAAGAGATATGGAACGAGAAACAAGCAGGGGAGAAATCTTCATGGAAGTTTGCTCTGTCCACAGCATCCTTTGTTAGACCTGTGTAACCCTTTACCAGTTCCCATGCTATGGGATATGGTTCTTCCAACATCAGTCCTACAACAGGTTAGGTTGACTGTGTGTTTTCAAAGTGTCTGCATTAGAGCAAAGATAAGACTTCAGTTTGCCCCCTTTTTAATTCCAAGCTGTAGCCAAACACAGTGTGAACTCTACCCATGAACCAATCTACATTTTGGAAGCTCTGGAAGAACTTTCAAGGCTCTATTCTCTTTCCTGCAGTTGACTGATCACTAACTTTCCATTTTTTCCATGGACTTTTTAGCACATTAAACTGATGCTTACAACACAGGCAGCATGCTGCTGTGTCAAAGAAGCCAGTAATGGGAATTGAGACACCTGAACAAACCCACCATATGGTACCCTTTCCCATTCATACTAAAAACACTATTTACAGGTTTATGCAGTTAATGAGATTGTTATTTAGTTTCTTTGATATAACCCAATACTTCCACATAAAACAGCCTGTCTTAGCAGATTTGTTGATCTGAAGATAGTATCAGGAGCCAGACACCAAGCACTTAAATAAAAAAAAGAGGTAAAAGAGCAGTTGACCAAGTTAAACAAGGAGTTAAGGAAGTAGGTGATCTGGAAATCACAAACCAGATTCTTTCCTTTTGTAATTACTCACAAGAAACTGACAAGAAAAAAAACCCAAAAGGATAAAGTGTCAGTCATCTCTGTTACTACTTTTAGCCTCCATAATCTGAATCTAAGTTAATTAAAAAGGATCCAAACTGTGCTCCTCAGGAAAATTAAAATCTTCAATCACACAGTGCTAGAGAATGACTAAAGCCACACATATATTTAAAAATCAAGAACAGTACTGAAAACACACTATTTTTGGCATGGGGTCAAAAGAATACAGAACATTTCCCTTTCTCTATAGTGAAAAAAATCAAAGTAGTAATTAATAATTCATTAGTAATTAATAATTTCCCATTTGTTTTTCCCTTGTTCTGCCTCTCAAAAAAAATAATAATTAAAAAAAATCAGTTATCTGATGTGGATACCCAGACTTAGTGAAAAAGGCAATCTTCCTTCACAATATCAGATGCATTTACACTGTATTATTTCATGTGGCACTCAGTAGGCCTTCTAAATAAAGGAACCTTGAAACACTACCCAGGGCTGAGAGTAGGTTCTCACTAGGCTTTCATCTGTTTAATTTATGAAGCACAGTGGCAGAAAAGCAAAATACAGAAAGCTGCTGATTTTTCTGTGCACCCATCAATCATCCATGAATTCACCTAAGTATTTCAATAGCTAAATTGCGACTAGAGATCATGATTTGTCTGCTGTTAAAACAGCTTCCAGGAAGGCAAATAAAACAATGCAAAAAGCTACACAGATGTAGTTATTTTATAGCTACATCCTCTTTCTCTATGCTCCATAGTTTCTGAACTCAACACTGAAATAAGTGCTTGGGTGTGTCTGCAAGGGTATCAGAGAACATGCACAGACACATATATATGTAACAGAGGAGATATGTCTATCTCCTGTCAGTAGAACTATAGATGTACCATTCATATTTTAAGCAAATCCACAACATTGCTTTTGAATACTGCTATTGCAATCTGCTGTCACAGTAGTCCACCATGTATTCAGTTGTCAACATTTTAAAAAAGTTAAAACAGTTGTTTTTCAATTACTGTTTTCTATAGAAAATTGCTGGCAGCCTAATTGTAATTTGTGGATATTTAGGATAAGGGGGCGAAAGCAGAGGGAGATGGACTCATTTTAAGGGTTTGTCAGCTGAAATCCCAAATAGCAGGAACAAGGATCAGGCAGCTGAAACCAGTTCTGGGACAAATTCAGAGTGTTCTCACCACAGAGGTGGCCCCTGGGCCATGGAGTGACACTATTTACTTTCCCTACTGTATAGAGTGTTTACATTGTTCAGCTATGTTTCCCCATCTAAAAGGAACTCAACATATTACGAAAAAAATCCTTATTAGATGCATGTTGCACTTTTGTCTGTCATCACACCTTCAAGGTTTTAGGGCACTATAGGATTATTGTCCAACATGCATGCCTGAGACTAGACAGATTTGGATTCACCGCAGCTCCAGCTGGTATTTTTCTTCCTCTATTTAAAGTATATTAATTTACATCAATTGTAGGGCACATCAACAAAATTAGTAAGCTAGATAGCAAGAACGTTTTTCTTCTTTCAGCTCCATCCTTCGCTCCCACCAGTCATTACTGGACTGGCAGACTCTTCCAAGTTACCCTGCTGTGAGCCAACAAACATTAGTGATGGCAGCACTGTGCCCAAGAGTGGAACTGCAATGCAATGCAGAACACCTTCTGGAAGCTGATGCTTCAGAAAGTAGCACAGGCCCGCATTCAATAAATGACATTTCTTCCTACTACGGATTAATTATGAAAAAATTTGTACTCTACCCAAATGGCAGTTGATTAGACTGGGCTATGTCATAGGAAGCAGAGGGCTGTCTCGGGCTGCTGCTGCTGTGCTGTTCCTGTGCTCAAAGGTTGGGAAACTCCTGAGGATCTCTGTGGTGGAGCGGGTTGCAAGAAGTCAGGGCAGAATCTGACCCGGGAGCATTTTAGAGTCTAACATACGAGAGATCAGTTCAAACATTGGCCCTCAATAAGAATCCTGAAAGTGCAACAGCCAAACAAATCTTTTTTGTTTTCCTTTCATTACTAGGTAAAAAGGAAACAAATAGTTCAAAGTCTGAAGGAAGAGCTGAACATCACAAACCAACCAGACCCTTCCATCAGCTGTAAGAGCACATGGCAAAAGGAAACCAGAATTCCTGCAACGTGCTTTTAACCTACCACTTTGGGCATTTCAGAGAGCATTCAAAATTACTTAGGACAACAAATGAGATTTTACACCAATTACAACGTAAACCTTGGGCAAACAGGAAAATGAATGAAGGAGATCCAGCTAATGCATCTTTCTGTGATGTAACACAGTAATCGCTATGGCAACAGTCAGGTTAACATGCTAAGAACAATACACAGCATTTTACAGGGATTTTCACAATTGGAATAGAAAGCCAGGTACAAGTGTCCTTTCACTCATTACAGATAGCTGACGCTGACAAAACATGTCCTGTGCAATCCTCTTACTAGGAATTCTGATGAGGCATTTTTATTTTTTCCTACTGCACACTTAATTTACAGATAGGTTGGAAAGTAACTTTTTGATACAGCTTTCAAAACCCTACATGAATTGTGACCTTGAGTCTCATCAGTTTACAATAGGATGCAGAATATTAAGTCCCATTTTCAATTGATTTAGGTATTAATCTAAGTAACTTAAGATCTCTTGAAAATCTTAACCTATATTAGTGCATACGCCAAAAAGCTAGGATTAGGTAGTACTACTACAATACATAGTAGTTACCGAAGAATAACAGGCATTGTAATCTTTCAAAATGTGAACATTTCACTTATCAAAATCCAAAGGCTTATAAAATACAAACATGGCCAAGTTGGAAAATATGTAATTACTAAAGCCCCAATCCTTTCTATTTACTTACTTCATTTTAACATTGTTGTTTAAATTTGTCTGGTTAAGATTAGATGGCTTTCTAAAGATAGATGTTTTTTCCACACTCTTCTCCAAGCGGGACACTTTTCAAGGCATCAGATTAAAATAGAAAAACAATGACTGGGGTAAAAAAAACCCACACCAGTTCTTTTTTTTTTGTTTTTCTACTGTATGCTACCAATGCATTTTCACACCCATGCCTCTACCTCAAGAGAGTTAATTTTTTAAAAAATTGCTACACTTCCACACATGATCCCTAAATAATTTGAAGATACAAAACCTTATCTGAAATGATTTAACTTTTATGAGCAGCTTTTCTGGTATACTGACACAAGCTGAGGCAATCAAAATGTGTCCTTTAAGATGGGCTTCTGTCAGTCTCCCTGGAAGATGCCTCTAGGCATAGTGCCACAAGGATTGTTTTAATTACCTAAGACTTGAGTTAACAAACAACTACAGATGTTTAAGAAAAAGGCACAACATCTACTGATCTGACCCCAACCATAGGTATATCTAGGTACTGAAGGATAAGCTTGTATATAAAGTTTTTGTTCATTTTAACTATATGGAATATTTTGTCTTGTGTTATTCTGTTAGACTTATTTGAGACTAACACTGAATTTCTTTAAAGGTCTTTCAGTTAGACTGAATAGATTATTTATTCTTATAAACTGCATTCTAACCAACAATGCTGTAAGCAAGGCAGAATTATGGTGTGTATGTATATGTAGATAGAGAAAAACTCTCTGCTTTGAGCATAAAACTAACACAACTTCAAGTAGAATCTCATCTTTGTATCATTAGAGAAGACTTGTTATACTTTGAAAGTTCAACTTGGAAAAAAAGTACTGTCTTTTAGATTTACAGTTGGACTCGATGATCTTAAAGGTCTTTTCCAACCAAAATGATTCTATGGTTCTAAGTTAAAGGAGCAGAAAACATTCTTACCCACTTTTGTTGAAAGGAGAAATATCCTTCTGATAGAAGAATAATGTGAAAATGCCTCTCTGCTCTGCAACTGGAGTCTTAGGGCACTACTGCTCATGTACAGGAACTTGATTTTCCTAATACCTGGCCTGAGTAGGCAAGCATAAGCAATATGAATTTCTGTAAACTAATTTCTGTTCAGTTGGATAATGACTGATTTAGCTGACACCCTTTTGTGCAGAATTGCTCTGCACTACCAAGCAAGCCCAATTAGGCCTTTGAAATCCACAAGTACAAGCTTGTTATGGTGAGCTTATTTGTAATGAAGCATCCTAAATTCAAGTGCACTGTCATCAACTAGGATGGAAATATTTTCTTATATTGATGACACCAGAATCTCAAATGCTATTTCCAGGTGAGATACCTTCTTTTGGGATTTCAAATAGGATTTTTCTTGAATGCAAATGGGCTAACTCAGAGCATTCTGTGTAGATATTTTTTGACAACTGACCTTTTCTCCAACACACCCACTGTCATGACACCAGGTACATGTCTGCAATGAGTTTCATAAAAAGTCACACGTTTGAGGCCAAGCATTGTCAGGGTGAAGGGTGACCTGCAGAGAATCAGCAGACAGCCACTAGTGGTAGCGCAAGCACAGTTTGTTGTCATGGTGTTCTTTCTGGCCAGGTACATAGTGCCCACTCCCAGTTTCTGAGGATAACTGGCTGGCCAAGGGCCATTTTGCAGAGGTGAAGATTCACATTGTAAGGCTTTTGGTTATGGTCAAAGCCAGTGCATACCAGGAAGTTCAACGAGATGATTGTCAGATGCTTCGTTTCATGGAAAACAGACAGTCCTCTCGGTGTTTGTTCAGATCGGGTCTCACACCCTCTCACACAACATTATTCCATCTGGAAGAAGGGATACCAGGACACAGCACACTGGACCTGTGCACTGGCTGCAGCTTATATCTAGTTTTATATTTGGTTTTGCACTTACAAATTAAGTCATTACTTAATTTTGAATCATCCAATAGTGTTTGCCTTATTTTTCCTGAAACCCCTAGTATTTCTAGAGATACTTAGGTGAGTTCAGTTTCCATTTGTAAATCAACCTTCGGTACATATTAAAAATGGCAACAATGAACTACATGGCAACATGTAGTCCACTTTTTCCATGGTTTAATTTTTTAACAGTTTTATGAAGACTTATTTACAGAAAATTCTACAGAAGATCAAGTATATCTGTTCCTTTGTTATCATTTCACAAGTTTGAGTGACTAATGGTATTAGTAAATATTCAAGAACAAGCTCTGCAGAATGTATATTTTGTTAATCATAGGATAAGAGAAAATGGTGCCCTCCACATAGTTCTGATATTTATTTCAAAAGTTGTTTTTTGATAATCAGTTATTCTGAGTTGTGATTAAGTCCACACAGATTTACTGCACCTTACAATTTTCTTTTTGCTCATCTTGCTCAGGTCCCTGTTCATTTAGAAAATTTTTGGCTTCGTGCATCATACGACTCTCTCTAGTATTATCAGAGAGAGTTTTTGTGGATTGTTTATATGGGTAAAGTGGTGACCTTGAAGTAGATTTCATTGGTGAAAAAGCTGTTCCTGCTTGGGACCGCTGTTCTTCTTTTGCCTGTAACACAAAAACGTCTTGTTTTACTGGTAAAGGAAAACCTTATTAGCTTTCCGCAGTAGCTCAAAAGACTCTGCAAAAGACTAAATATTGGGAATTTGCAAAAAACCATATACATACATACTGAAAACAGGAAAAAAAATATTTTGAAGACATTTATCACTTTGAACATACAATACAGTGAGACTTGATATCAATTGTTTTGGTATGGAGTAAGATGGAGTATCTGCCACAAAGCTGGCAAGCTACTTGCTAGGAGCAGAAAAAAAGCTAAACCAGGAACAGAAAGTACACTTAATCTGTTTACTAAGGTATCCAGCATTGTGTACTGAGATCTGTATTTCATTTTTCCTGTACATATTCTGCAAACATAAAACACAGTTGTAACTTTTTTTTCTGACATCTGGACAGAAACCACTGCTTTCATGTTTTAACTGATGTGCAGTCAAAGAACTCAATTTAAATTCTACATTACATTCACATAGGAAAGTGAATAAATTTGCCCATGAAAATGACAGGGCACATTTTAAGCACCTTGAGACATTTGCACCAGTTTGAAACTGGGTGTCTGAAATGAAGTACATATAAGTACCTGTCAAAGAGAAGGAAACACAAGGCTTATTTCACTTTTAAAATAAGACATATTATTTACTGCATTAATATAAAGCATGAAACAACATGTTTTGATGGTTTCAGCAAATGATGAAACAATATTATGAACGATTCCTCCAGAAATTCCCAGATGTATGTCATCTTGAAATAAAACACATATATCCAGCAATGTCCAAAAGAGAAGGCCATAAATTCCTGGAACTGATGACTTCTGTATATTTACACTTGGGGGGGAAAAAAACAACTCTGAAATCGTAGTTTCTCCTATATAGTTGAAGGTAAGGAATAGCCTGCCCTTAGACCTAGACAATACAAGCTTAGGCAAAGAGGAGGACTGTCTGGGAAATCTCTCCCTCAGTTAAATTAAAAACTATTTATTACTGATTACTTGTTATTTGCTGTAACCTTGACTATGGTCAGTGAGAGCCTACAACAAAACAAGCTCAAGGCTTCCTTTCTTTTTTGCACTACTAGTTTCTTTACAATCAACACCCTCTGTTTGTTTCTAAAGTTACAGGAAAACATACATAAATGAGTGTAAATAAAATTTATTGCATCACTTAATGAAATAGTCGTAAAACACACACCTCCAGGCAACGTCTGTAAGAAACAGCAAATTTTGGCAAGTAAACTAACTAACCCTTGAAACAACATTCATGAATTCAGTGGATTCACTCTCACTTCAAAATACAGATTTCCTATTGCTATAGCTCAAAATAAATTATGGTTCTGATCTCACTTGTCTTCCCAATGGTGCCTTCTGCCTCAAAACCTATACATCCACTAAACTATATAGTTCTTGCCTTTACTTACTTTTGGTATCTTGCCAACATACTTTATGTGCTAACATAAAATAACTGCATTTAAAAACAAAACAAAACAAATGTAAGTTGTACTCTTGCTTTATGGCTTCTCTTTTGGCTGTGTGGCAGACTCCACTGATTTCCAAGAGAATGCTTTTGTGTAACCTGGCAAACTGGAAGAAGAATTTTTATCTACTGACAAGTTTCTATGTAGTCCTCAAAGGAATATCAGTATATAGTAACTATTTTCTTAATGCTTAACTTGAGATAGCATGGTAAAA